GCAGTTCCACTCTGTCCTCTAGGGGCGCTGTGGGTCGGAATGGACTCAAGGGCAGTGGGTGTGGTTTGTGGCAGGTCTTGTCTAGAATGACAATCATCGTTTTTTGTCAGACTAACACAGTACTTGGACGATGTAGTAATGAGCCCCACAGCTCTCTGCACCCCTCTCTCGACAGTGTTTGCTCTCCATCTGTGGCTCATGAGAAGTAATGGTTTCTCTGCGGCCATGGAATCACGTAGGTTGACAGGTCATATTTCTGGTTAACCTGTTCGGTGTTTTCTTGGGGGAGATAGCTGCTTTTCAGCCTTATTGTCTTTTACTTGTCACTTGGTAATTACCTCCACCCTAAACTCTGTCCCTTGGTTCCTTCCTGTTTGAACTGGGTGACATGGTGCATGGAAGGGCACTGATGCGTCATATGGTCCACAGGCTTCCCAAGCCCTCCTTGCTTGCTTCTCCCCGTGCCTTTCCACTGGCTTTTCTGGGTGTCCCTTAACCGTGAGTCCGTGAGGCCCTTTCCTGTCCCTCCTCTTCATACTCTCTGGCAGTCTTGTCTGAATTCGATGTAACCACCACTAGTATGTTGACGACTTCAGAGCCTTTTGGTGCAGCTAAAACCTGTCACCTGGATTCCACATTCACCAGCTGATAATGGGTATTTCCTCTCAAATGGCCTCGTGGTACCTCCTGGTTAGTGGTCAGATGGAACCGTTACCTCCATTGACACTCCTCAGTTGTGTTTCCATCGTTGGGGACTGATGCCAACATCCAGTCATTTAGTGCAAAAATCTGGGCATCCAGGGCGGCCCTGTCTTCAGGCTGCAGCACCCCAAGGTGCCTCAGCTTTCTTCTGCATTGTCTTTGACACCATCCGCAGTTGGGGCTTTGTCACAATCTGCCACCTCCCACCTTGCTCCTCTCTAGTGCAGTCTCTGGTCAGGACATGTGGAGTCATGGTACTTCCCTCTGAACACATGTGAGCATGAGGCAAGTCACGGCTGGCATAGGTGGCATGTCCTGAGCACCAGGTGCCGTGAGATACAGTGTGCACACGTTTTCATGTCATTCCACAGTCCCATGAGGTGTCCAACAGACATGAGAGACCCCTTAGACAGATCCCATCACTGTGCCCAAGACCACTAAGCTGGGATGCACCACGTTTCGGCCCTTGGCACTGAGGGCAGAGAGCCTGTGTTTGGATTGGCCCCCCATGGGCTGTGAGTCTCTTGTGTGCCCTGTGGGCTGCACTGTGTGTCCTTGGTGGGGTGCTGTCTCTGCCTTGTCCCCTTGTGCCCCTCCCTCTCTGGTCTGATCCATCACCCATCTTGACACGCTCCCAGCTCCAGGGACACTTGTCCATCTTCTGACATGGTGCCTGCCACTCCCCGGGCCCTCTCTGACGTCTTCTCCAGAGCTGCACTGGACGTGTGGCTGCTGCTCTGCCTGCTTCAGACGGGTGCTGGGTAACGTCTCTGCACTGGGCAGAACTGCGGGAGAATCCCCAGGCCCTTAAACCCAAGTGCCCTGTCATTTACCGTTCAAAATGAGCATGCCCTCTGTTCGAACACTGCTTTGCTGAGTCAGCTTGGCTGGGCCGTGGTTTGGGGTGGTGTGGCAGCTGGATGTAGTTACTCCCCGTGACAAGATTGCATGTGTTGTAATCATCTCCACGGGGAGTCTGCTGGGAGGTGTTAATCAGTGTAAGGGGAGTCGCCTTCCGCATGTGGCCTGTGTCCAGTCTATATGGAGAAACTTTGGGAAAGGTCCCTAGCTTACTGGCACATGTTGGATGCTGCATTTGGCTGAGCCTTCATCCCAGTAGCCTGCCAGCCTCTGGGTTGTCCCTGGACAACCTGGACTTGGACGAGTGGCCCCCGATCTCGGCTTTGTGCCTTCTCACCTGCTGGGTTCATCGACCTCAGCAGCCAGTGGGTGTGTGATCCACAGGAAGCCTCCAGCCCCAGGGCCTGGACAAGAGATCGCCCCACAGCCCAGGGTCACAGGGCCTTCACCCGGCCTCTCGACCCAGCACTCTGAACTCGCACTTCCAGCTCCTAAACGTAAGAGAACAAATCCTTGTCTGCAGGGAACAGGAACCGCTGTGTGTGGCGGGGACTGGCACACTCATCAGCTGGGTGTCTGCAGGGGCTGCCCTAGTCTGTCTCTGTCTCTGCTTCTGGAGAGCCGACCAGTCATGTTAATGCAGGTGGCCAGAT